GTTTAATTCAGAATTTAATTTACTTAAATTTAGAGTATTTTTTGAAATTAAAATTTGAGATATTTAATTTAAAAGGAACTGATCAGAGCTATTTTGCATCAAATATATTCATGTTGAATATATTTTCCTTTCATCTTACAAGAAGCAGCGTAAATGCTCAAACCAGGATAAATCCAGAATAACTCCACTTTATTGGTGTTAGCCCAGTTTTACTGAAAATAGAGAGTTCTCTCTTCCCACTTCTTTTTTTTATATTGCTTTTTTCCATGGTTGTATTGCCATTTTCCATGTAAGAGCTTTCATGTAATGACACGTGATGGAAAAGAAAAAGAAAATTTGTGAACCTGCAGATCTTTCTTTTCCCCCCCACTGCAAGATTTGGGGATTGGGGTTTTTGGAGTCAGCAGGAATGGAAGGAAAGGTTTCCATGAGGAAATGGAGCTCAGAGCAATGGAAGGAAAGGTTTCCATGAGGAAATGGAGCTCAGAGCAATGGAAGGAAAGGTTTCCATGAGGAAATGGCTCCGTGCTCCACTGTGAGACCACAGCACACAGAGAGGTTTGCACTCAGGCCCAGCTGGGCTCTTTGCCCTCTGCACCTGCCAGCAGCAGCTTGGTTTGATTTCAAGAATGAATCAATTTGTGGTCAGTTTATAATGTGCAAACAACAGTAAATAGGGGGTTTTTTTGTTCTGCTCTCTGGTTGGGCCAAATACAAAATAGCACACTGGGAAGAGAAGTTAAATTCTACAAAAGGGTTTGTTTTTTTTTTTGGTACAATGATCACTGTAGGAATTCAGCTTTCCTTATTTCCTGGATCATTGAGAGGGGAGAGAACATTTGTTAAACAACCCAAGACTTCATCTGACACACAAGTGCTGCATCCCTTATGAAACAGAATCTGTGCTCTATTATTTTCTCTCCTCCAAATTAGATTAGAACAGATGCCATCCCTTCCCTGTGCACTTCAGTGCCAGCAAAAGTAAGTCTCTACTCACTTATATAAGCCTGGTGTCCTCACTTTTCATCTCAGTGTTAAAATTCCTGTATTTTGCACAAGTTACATTAAATACGCTCCCGGTTGTGAATTAGGACCCAAACACAGAATTTCCCAATTTTCTGCTTTGTTTGAGTATCACCACTGAAGTACAAATTCAAATCTTGCTTTGATCTACCTAAAAGATGGGAACTCCAGTTTGTAAGGCAGCTGTCATTTGGCTCTTGTGGCTGTTGCACAGGATCCATCACAAGAACGTGTGCTTTACTGGGGGGGTTTTAAATATTCTGTAGATTCAGGTTTTTCCTAATTGAAATTTTCAACTTATCTCAGTCATCCTTCAGTAAAAAAATACATGTGATACACATGAAATGGCAGCTTTGAACTTCCAGCATGTTTCCCTTGATAAAATTGGATAGTTCCTTGTGTGACTGCAGACCCAACGTGTCTTTTCTTTTTAATGAACCATGGTGGAAAGCTTTTCTCTTTAATGGCTTCGTGGCCAGGGATGTTTTAGACAAGTTCTGGGGCATGAACTTCTCTGGCCTGCTGAACCCTGCCACCAATGGATTCACTGGTACAGAGTGACAGTGACTCCAAGCTTTGCTCATTTCCTGGGAAATTTCCTCCCTATTTTATGTTTCAATACCACATTTGACTTTCTCACTCAGACAATAAAATGTCTTGTCAGCCAAGCTACTGTTCCAGCAAAGCATTTCCCTTTGAAGAATGTGCTGGGTTTTTTTTTACAGGTTATTTTTTTCATATTAGCAATGACAAAAGTGAACCCAGGGCTACTCCTTGATTTTTATTTTCCAGGGTTTATTATTATATTTACAGTTCCCTGTAAGAAGACACAACCCTTTCCCAGTAAGAGTTCTAATTCCTGTCTATGTTTCAAATACTAACGACCCATATGGAAAGGAGGAAGATAACCAGCAATGAAGGAGGTATCTCTGGGGGCTGAAGCAGATGAATAAAAAACTCAAATCATTATAAATATTACTGTACTACACTTTGGTACAACCAAAAAAAAAAAAAATCAAACCCCTTCAAAGAAAATATTTAATGTTCCCTAAGTCAAATAAAATTCACAAACAATATAAGAAGAAATTAACCACATGGGGGTTTTTATATCTGTAAAAAATAATAAGACTACTTGGCTGCATTGCACATAGGCAATAAAATGAGATTCATTCCGATCCCTTTTTCCGTGAGCCTCCTCTCAGGCTGTAAGCAAGAAATGTCCACTGTGCTTTACAAAGGACGACGACTAGAAAAAATCAATGCAAACAAACATCCCTTTCTTTTCTGATTTACCATTTATCATGAGAGATGGCAAACAAATGAAGTCTCCTCTGAGCCGGAGCGCAGTTGGATTAGCATTTTGCTAGTACCAGGCAGTATACAAAAACAGCCATCGTGTGTGACACCTCCAACACCTACAGGGAGCTGTTTTAGGGGCACATCCTGGTTTGTGGTGAAACAGGATTAACTCAGCCAGCCTCTTGGACCTGCTCTCTGATATCAGGTTATCATCTCAGTACCTCCAGGGTTGGACTGTCTTGTTCCTATTGCTGACTGGACTGACTGCTCCACCATCCATAAACAGAAGGCATAAAGGTGATTACAAACATAAGAAAGTAGTTTTACATATTGTCTTGCAGTCTTTCCATATAGTCCCTAAGTTCCTTGGAATCACCAAGATTCATATCTTGGCATACCCATTTAATATTATCATCACTGTCAAATAGAATTGAGTTGGTGTAGGGGCCTCCATCCTCTGGCAGTATTGTTGTATATGAAGTGAACTTTACTCGCTTCTGCTTTGGCCCAGAAGGATTTATAGGTTCACTTTTAACTTCTTTTTCACAAAGGTACTCAGAAGATCTGAGGATATGATTATGAAGAGTCTTCTGAGAACTCCCATTAAGGAGAAAGTTGCTTTCTTCAAACTGCATCCCTCTGTCAATCATGGTAGTGCACTCCTCCGACGGGAGCGAAATGTCCACTGGGTTTTCCAGGAGCTCCACCTCATTTCCAAGCCAGACCCAGTCATGGGAATGGGGGATGTTGCCTTGCTCACTCACAGCAAACCTTTTGTGCCTGTACTTCCAAGCAAATGCCACACAGTTAATCAAAAAGACCAAGATTGCTAAGCAGAAAACACAGAGCAGCGCGTACATGCCGATCTCCAGGTCTGTCAACCCTCTGGAAGTCAATGAGAGGTCGCTGGGATTGTTTTCTCCTGGAATTTCTACTTGGGTAGGGAAACCTGTGAAGGCAGTTGGGTTGTTTTGAAGCTGGCCATCCTCCAGGGACTCCTGATCAACGGGAGATATGAAAGTTGTGCTTTTGTTTGCATTGTCCTCAGGACTGGACACGTCCTCGTGGTTTTTGGACCAGTCTTGTGCTGTCCTCTCTTGTTCTGCAGCTTTCTCTATAGCGTTGCCTGCATGGCTTTTAAAATCTTTCTCCAGGTCATCGATGTCGTTGCTGCTCCCTTTTTGGTCCAAATCTTTCTGGCCAAACTTCACCTTGACGTTTCCTTTCCCGACAGCCAGGACGCTCTTGCGCTTGGTTTTCTGGCAGGTCTCACTGATGACCATCTCGATTTTAATCAGAGGCCCCTGCCCGTCCCCTTCGGCCACCACGACGGGCCAGAGGGACTGAAGGCTCTGCTGTGACGACACCACCATCTCATCCAGGGACGTGATGGAGATGGAGAAGTCCTTGGAGTCGTAGATGTCCAAGGGTGTCACTGACCCATCGCTGAACAAAACCCAGGCACTCACCACGGCCTCCTGGAGAGGATGAGGGGAAGAAAATACGAGAGAGAGAGAGCACGAATCAGACACTCCATTGTTAAACTCTGAAAAAAAATACAGAGTTTTGCTTTGGGGGTCTCTCTTTTTGGTTTGTTTTTTTTTTGAAGAAAATGGAAATGTCTACTCTGCTTCTCATTTTCTTGCAGGCTTGTGTTCTCTAGACCATTGAGGCATTTACCTCACCTTCAGGAACTATCAAAGAAACACTCAGATAAATTTAATAAAAATGCTGGAAAAAACAACTGACGATTCTTTTTTCTCAGTCTGAAGTGAGAAGCCTCTTTTGAATGCCAGAACCTCGTGATGAAAATAATCATATTTCCAGCATCACGGTCAATTAGGTTTATAAAGGACTTTTTTCCCCAATTCTTTTGGAGAATTTCTCTAATGCTGCAGTTTCAGTGCTGTATGTAATAGAAAGAGCAGAGCTGGAATGTGTCAGGCCAGCGAGCCCATCCAGCCCATGGAACAAACTGGGAGGAGAACACATCTCAGTGCAGCATTTTGTCTTTTCTGTCACACTTTCAAATATTCTGGACTTGCAATAGGCCAAAGTGATTGTGGTCTTTCCTGGGAACTACAGCAACAGTCATAAAAAACACAATTCTTATGTTTTGACCAAACCAATTTGTCTTCTTACTGCGAATTGCTAGTGCAAAAAATATAGTTACACTTTTGTGCACTGATGTAGGACCTCAATTCTATACAATCTATTAAAAAACCACATACAGAATTCACTCTGTGGTCTCATTAAAAGCTATTTAATTCCTCAGACTATATGGTTCAAAGTAAGCACAAATTCATCAGTTTTCAGCAAAAAAAAAAAGTTGTGAAAAACTTCTGCACCTGCAGCCAGAGGCGGTTTTGGCTGAGCTGACTTTGTGAGACAATTAAGGAACGGCATTCCCAGCTCTGCTTGCCCAGCCAGGCTGCATTTTCCCCCAGCAAAAGTGGTTTTTGTGGCACATCCATGCTTTGTTTGGCACTGTGCACTCCCAGACACGTCCATCCCTTTCCCTGCGCTGTGCAGGTCCCCGGAGAGTTTAATGGTCCCTGTGAAGGGCTCTTGGCACCGTGGGGTTGCTCAGGAAAATGAACTTTACTACGAGAAGTGACTGCTTTTCACAGCCATATGGTCATTATAGCTGCTGCCTAAAATTTACAGCAAATGACTCTGCCAAAGCAGAGGGAAGACATCAATAATTTGATGTATTCTCTTGTACCTGTTTGGGGGTGCGCAGGATGTCGTGGGCAGAGGTGGTAGCAACGAGGGCTCTCTTATTTCCTTTGCTGGTTTGGAAGGACACAGACAAGCCTGACACCAGCTGCACCCCCAGGTCTGTGATGGTCACCCGGTCATCCAGAACGATCACTGTCTTCTCTGCCAGGATGGAATCCGAGAGAGGAGACAGAACCTGGGAAGAGAAAGGAAACACCTTGTGTGAAACAGCCATGAAGTATTTCAGAGCAAGGCTGGCCTCTAACCAGCACTCCAGATTAATCCTGGGTTTGTCACATCCGTGTCTAGGCCAGAGCTGATGTTTCCCCTGACATATTTCACTCCTTTGCTGCTAAATTATCTAGCAGAATAATTTAATGAAACAACAAATCACTCCAAAATTGCAGCTTGATCTTGACAAAATATGTATCATATAGAATAAATTAAAGGGATTTGTTGGTGTTTTAAGACATTTTTGTGGGGTCTATAAAACTGCCTGTGAATGCAGTGCAGCACAGGACAGAGTGTAAGACACTGATTAACACTGGAACTCAGGGAGGGATAAATAAGTGTTCAAAGCCTGGCTGATAGGAACTTGGCCTGTTGCCTTTCTAGGGACAGAGGACCTGAATGAAATGAAAGTGAGGCTTGCAAAAGAACTTTGAAAATCCCACTGGGTGCCTGCCTGCATTTGTCAATGCCAAAACACTCCTGCCAGTTGCTCTGAGACCTTGTTTCCAGCATGCTCAGAAAGAGACTCATCTTTATCCTGGTGACAGAAACAGCTGGTTTGAGCCCAAAATACTGGAGGTGTGATTTGTCTAAAGCAACACGAGAAACCTGCAGCACATCTCCCTGCACTGGAGCTTCCTGCTCTTCTAGAGCCACTGGAGAGAAAGAGACATCTGAAGGGCAGAAATCCCTTGACCTTTCTATCCCATTTATTTCAGGTTGAAGGGAGCTGAGCCCTAAATTCCCTGTTTGTGTTGACTCCAGAGTGTGACCAGAACATTACAGGTGTTTGCAGCCCCTGAGAAGAGCCCAGTGCTTCTATTCCTTTATTTTGATTAAGGAAGGTGCATGAATTTGGACACAGAGTTGGGTGGGAACACGAACACTATGAAAGGCATCTGAAGATTATTTTTGTGCCCATGGTTTGTGATAGATTTTGGGAACATAAAAGGACTCATTTTATGTTCCCCAAAAAAAGTTTAGCCTTTTTAAAGGCTAAACTAATCAATCATATAAAGGTGCATGTAGATATTTGGTACAATTTCCCAACAGTTATGTTCCTATGGTCCCACTGAAGTTAAAAGAAGCTGCCTGTGTGCCTCTTGTCACCTCCTTCCCCAGCCAGAGAAACCTCCCTGTGTTCCAGTCACACCAAGATGGATAAATCCCTTCAAAAGCTTCACCTAAGGGCATTTTGTGGAAGTGACAAATAGCCACAATGAAAACCCATCCAAACTTCCTTTTCTCTTTAGCATGGCCATTTTTTCAGCTTGGTTTTCTTTCTGAGATCAGTGAGTTTTGTCCAGCATCCCCCAGGGTGTGTGTGAGCCGTACCTGCACCGTGGTGATGCCCTGCTCACGCCCAGCCAGCACTCGGCCCTCCTGCAGCTTGGCAACCTTGGGCTCTTCCACCTTCATGAAATCGGCCACCAGGTCGGTGATGTCGAACTGCCACTCCGAGCCCAGCAGGTAGCTCAGCTGGCCCCCAAACTCCGAGGATTCGGCCACAAACTGCGTCAGGACCCTCACCAAGGCGTGCTGGTACTGCAGGGTGCAGCCTTTGCCTTTCTTCTCGTCATCCTCCTCATCCTCGCTGTCGCGGGTGGGCCTGTGAACACATCCAGCTTTGTTACTGCTCCAGCTGCACCTCGCTCCCATCAGTGAGGGGATGTGAGACAGGAGAGCAGGGCTTGGGTGGGCAGCTGAGGAAATCCTGGTGGAGCTTTGTGCAGCTTTTTGTGCCATTTCGAAGCTACCATCGCTTCCTGCAGCGCGTCCTTTGTTTGTGTGCGACCTCCCAGCAGAGTGCAGATGTGTTTTCTGTCATTGCTGGGATGGAGTGGAGCCCCTGCCCCTTCTCCAGGCAGCAGGGAAATAGTGCAGAGGGCTCAGGAAATGTTTAGGAGAGGGCAGCTGTGGAACAAAGCCCTGTGGCAGCTCATCAGGGTGGGAGAAGGTGTTTTACCATCCTTTAACATTTGTATTTCTGTGCTTTTCCCTCCTGTAACAGCTCAGGCTCTCCCTGCTGAGGCAGAGCCCCCAGCTGGTGCCCATCCCTGCTGTGCTTTGTTGATTCCTCTGCTTTTGAGAACACACCTTGACTCCACCTCACATCTCACACAGCTCATGCAGTGACCTCAGGTGCCTTCCAAAAACCCAGATTGGGCATTTAGGCTCCCACTCAGGGCAGGCTGCTCAGATTTCACCGTGCAGAAACACCTGCAGCATCAGACACACTTCCTTCAACATTTTCTATCTGTCCCCCTCCCAAAATATAACCTGTGAAATAAAACAGCTTTTCCTAAAGCTCAGAGAAGGCATCACAGTGATTTGTACGTGATAGCTCTGCTGTCACACCTCACACAGTTTGTCTGCTTAAAGGCCCATTTTACCACCAATATTATTATTCTTTTTCTCTTGTTTATTCCCTGGGACAAACACATGGATCCTCTTATCTCTTCCAAGTCAGGTATTAAGCAGTGGGTGGTCACACTTTTACTCATTGTGCCCCCATGCTGTGGATTCATTGCTCAGAAATAATTTCCCTCCCTCCTGTATTTATTGAGCCCGAAGCCACCTCTACATCAAGGGTGGGAAATACAGGGTAAGTCTCTCATTTTTCAAAGTATTGCAGGAGGTAGTTTTGTGGTTACTGTGTCCCTTTATCTTCTCCTTTGAAACAGCAGCTATGAAAAACTATTATAAAACAGAATTGTTTTTGTTATAAATTGTTTTATGACAAAGTTGGCAGCCAGTAAGCTGAAAACATATCTAAGAAAAACCCTTGTGCTCTTCAAAATGACTGAGTTACAGAACCTAATCCACTGGAAATGCATTTTCAATGCATCACCTGTTAGCTGAATATTTACATTCAGCCTCAAGTAAAAGGTCTGTGGTACACCTTTTGGTTTTGTGTGTGTAAAACAAGTGTCCATCATTACCTGCTGAATGAAACATCGTTGAATAACTGGAATTGTTAGGGAAAAGGCTACTAAAATAGGATTTAGATTCCCCAAAGAAATTAGTCTTACAGAGTCTGACTAGCTGGGTATTTCAGGGAAACTTCAATTTCTCTCCTTCCCAATGCTGGTCTGAAGTCAGCTCAGTTGGCAAAATGACCACAAAGAAAGTTCTAGAAGGGAGAATATTCATGAAGCTTTTGTGCTCCACAGCCATCTGTGCTGTAAAGGAATTCATGAACTCCTTCGTGTTCCCACTTTCAATTTATTCCTGTGTTCTGACCCTCTTCAACTCAGCTAAGCCACATCCCAGCTCTGAACAATCTCAGACTTTGGCAAAACCAAGTTCAGCTCTGAGATTTTGGGATTTTCCCCTCTCTTTATAACACAGACAGTAACGTTAGTGCCTGTGCAGAATTGGAGAAAAATGCAGATAAGGGGTACTTATGGGATTTGGGGCAAAAGAGCACAGAACTGATGGGATCCAGCCTTGTTATGGGAAAAGAGACCCAAAACCCGAGCTGTGGCTGCAGGAAATGTTCCCACATTCAATATCCACACCAGCACCATTTTCCACAACTCCCTTTCTGTCCCTGCTACACAACCTGATGTTTGTCCCTGCCCAGGGCAGGGGTTGGAACAAGATAATCTTTAAGGTCTCTTTCAACCCAAACCATTCTGTGATTTGATGTTTTATTCAGATCCAACGAGTTGCTGTTATATTTATTTATGTGCTTGTTTATTTCTACTTTCACTGTTTAAAACTTTGCCCCGCTGGATTGTCCAAGAGGAAATCCATTCAAAACAACTGGAGGGAATTATTTTTCAGCCCCAGCTCATAAATATGAGCTGAGGAATGACCAGAGGGAAGGATTGTTGCACAGGAGCACAGAGGGAGCACTCCTGTTCTTATTTCCAGGACCAGGATGGTGTGGGCAGCCTGTATTTACCACAACAAAAAGATGATCCGAGTCCAGTCCATTCCTTGGGGTATCTTAAATGCAAAGGCTCCATCTCAGCACAAAAACACTTAGAGATGTTTATGTACTTCTCCTCAGAAACATGTTTTCTATGGCACACAAATGTGGAGCATCACAAAAGCCTCTCCAAAGCCCAGAACGAGCAAGGCACGTTCATTGTCAGTGCAGAGGAGAGGGAGGTGTCTGAATTTTCAGTACAAGCTTGCAAATCTGCTTTGCCAGGTCTCATTCAAGTTCTTTCTGGTTTTTTGTTTGGTTGGTTTTGGGTTTTTTGATCTGGTTTTTTTTTTTTTTTTTAAAGGATATAATGTTTCCACTTTAAAGCCACAAAATCAAGATTTAGGCAGTAAGTCAGTGTTTTGTCTCCATGCATGCAACAAAATGTTTGGGATCCAGTGAACTGCACAGTTCCCTTTAAACTCCTCATTACAGTGTTTTCAGTGAGCTTAAAATCCTTCATTAAGCAAGGAGCTCATTTTCTGCTTAAGACAGGTCCTGCTGAATATAAGCTATTGCTGCATATTGTGCTTTCTTCCCCTTGGTCATCTCTGAAAATCTCTCAAAGTTCATCTTACCCTATTTCTTGCTGCTTGGCAAACTTGCTTGGAAGGTTTGATGCTTTTCTGGAGCGAGCCAAGGTTGCCAGAATTCCATTTAATTTACATTTCACAGAGAGAGAGGCTTTGCCAGGGAGCTGAGTTAAAGCAGCAGCCTGTTCCAAGGGTGCCTGCGAGCACTGATCTCATCAGTGATCTGTCAACTCCACATTACAGACATTGTCTCTGAGCACTTGAAGTGTGTCTCTTTTCATCTGCACCCCTCTCTAAACAGGCATCACCTTCTTGGGCCAGATGCTAGTTTTCTGTTAAAAAAAACCCCAACCCTTAAGAAATCAGTTTTGCTGGGTTTGGATTTGAAATACTCATTGCAAAGAGTTATATTTAAAGAACATTTGCAACACCCCTAATTGAAAAAAAGAAATCTCTCTCAGATACAAATTACAAAGCACTAGAAGTTGATTTAGTGGAAGCTACAGAAATAAGCTGCACATAACTCCACTCACAGTTCAAGAAGAAATGTAATTTGGTGCTTTTACAGATCTTGAAAATACAGCCTACCTATTAACAAAAATCTCCAAGGCCTTTTCTCCATAGGACATTAAAGTCAATTAACTAAAGGAGCAAATTTACAGCGTGTTCCAGCTTTGTGCAAATGCTGTTACCCACAAATGGAATGGTTTCAATCCAGTGTCACTTAATTTGCCCTAAAGCACAGCTTTACTTCTGAGGGCCAGCACTCACTGAGGGTTTAGCCAAAGCAGTTTATTTTGTCCTGCTTTTAACTCAGGCCAACTTTCCTGCTTTTGTCTCCAGAACTGGGCAGGAGAGAGCTGCTCAAAGCCCAGTAAACTCTGCCTGAAGTGATACCCGTGCTGCTGGTGTTGGGAGCCTCCTGAAAACAATATCCTATCCCAGCTGCAAATATTTACTGAAATTAAATTTCCAGTTTGTTCTGGGAGACTTTAGCCATGCAATTCCTATTAATGCAAGCTGAAGCCACTCATGCCATGTAAATATGTGTGCACAGAGCTGGTGCAGGAACCTCAAGATGAAGGTAATTATTTTGCAGATGCACGAGGAATAGAAATAAATGTTCTTGTTAGACTAGCAGAGTCTGCCTGGACCTCTTCTACACTCTAATATTTGACTTTAATTTAAATATACATCCACTGTTTGCTGGGGCTGGGGGTTTGTACAGCCTGTGCTGCCTCAGACACAACTTTTCCCTGCACCAGGAGATGATTGTGGAGCTGAATTTCACCTGCCCAGGGAGGCTCTTCCTATCTGCAGCAGCACTCACCAGAGATCAAGTTCTCCACTTGATAATATTATAGATTTCCCATATACTGCAGGCTGATCTGGTAAATTGCATTGCTGCTTTTACACTGGGGAGATAAATGGGGTTTTTTTCCAGTTTCTGGCACAAGAGCAGCCTGTCTTTTCCTTTCTGTTCTCCAACAAACTCCTGCTCTTGCAGCAGTTCAGACCAGCTAAAAACCAACACAGCTCAAACTGTGCATGGGGCATTTGTAAAAGTCTTGTAAAGACCCTGTTTTCTTCATTGCTTTGTGGAAATTATTCAAGAAGTCAGATAGGCAGAGATGTCTGTAATCACACGTATTTTACAATTACAAACATAACGGGGTTTATAGGGAGAAGCAAACATTTCACCAACAGCCACCTCTGGAAAGAACAGCTGGGATCTGGGCATATAAACTCCTCCTCCTCAGGTCTGACACAGAGCTACATTCAGATGAAGAGCAGCTATGCTGATGCACAAACATTTCTTTTGTTAACAGCACCAATAAAAACGTTTCAAAGATCATTGTAAGCCCAGTTCTCTTTTGCCATCTGGCTCAGCCCCTCAGACACGCTGTGGCTGGGGGAATGAGGCCCTGGGGCAGCCAGAGGAGATGAAAGGAACTTTGGAGGTTGCTCAAGTGTCTCTGCACAATCCCTGTAATAATAATCCAACATTTTACCTGCTGTATATTGAGGAATAACTTTATAGCAATGTTTGGTTCCTGCTGAGAAGACAAGGAGTGGTGTGAGGACACCAGCCCTGCAGGACAGGAGGAAAGTGGAAAATTATTTTGTTTGTGGTGAGGTGAGAGAAGCCACGTTGCAGTCCTGCCGTGACCAGAACACTGACACAGCTCCAGTTGATTTTTGGGCTAAGTTTAAGGTGCCTAAGCCTGTTGTCAGTGACTTTGGAAAGAGTTCTTCAGTTTCCTTCAAGGACAAATATCAAAAACCTCATGCAAATTGCTAAGATTGGCTCTTACATGAAGGTGAAGTTGAAACAACACAATGCTATGGCTTCACCTGCTGGGAAATGCTTGGATTTGGGGTTTTTACAAAGATAAAAGCACCCTGCTCACTCTCAAACCTACAGCTCCTGACTGCAGTCCAAATGTCTTGAGTGCTTCAGCTTATCACTTCAAAACTCATAAAAACTTCCCCATGTTTAGGATTTTGGGAAACACATAGGAGGTGGAGGTATAAGCAGATTAAAAAGTAAAGAGAAAAGTCATAATAATAAAAAAGAACCAAAATGAAAAGCCACTAAATCTCAGGTTAAAACCATCCAAATCTAAAAATAAAGGAAATGTAAAAACCTTATGTGCAAAGTAAATGTCAGAGTGAGCACAACTAATGCTGGCTCTGAGCTATTGATTCAGAATAGCCCTGCAAAGTTAAAAAGCCCACATGAATGGTCAATAAAACAAGAGATCATTTCTTTCCTGTTGAAACCTTTGCTGTTCACGTGGGCACGGACCTTGCAGGGGTGTCCACACTTTCCCTGCTCCATGGAAGATGCTGGCAGGATCTGTGCCAACAGCTCCAGGGCAATCCAAGCAGCAGCAAATGCTTTGCACCAAAACTCTGCAAAGCTTGCCAGCTTGCAAGCAGAGCAGACTCTCAGACCATTCCCTTTATTTCAGCTGGCCAAATAAATCAGGAGACACCGAGGGGGAAATTTCCAGCGCTGCCTGTAGCGGGTTTGAGAATGCCCACGACTGCTAAGCATGGCTCAGTGTCTGCTCCTGAAATAAACACCAGCCTAATCCTGCAGCCCTTTGCTCAGCAAAAACCCCCTGCTTTTAACAGGATCTGTGCCTCAGGGGTGGGACAGCACAGGCAGGAGGAGGGAGGTTCAGTGAAGATTTAAGCAGTCAGCTTCAATCCGTTCATTCCTCACCTAGCACAGCTCTTGCTGCCTCAAACAGCAATGCTGCCTTTGCCACTGAAGCAAACACTCTGATTTCTCATCACCTCTTCTGTCATAGCCAAAAAAATACCCACATAACCAAGAGGTCAGTCACTGCCCTTCTCTGGAGCTCATTATCTGACTGTCCTGCAAATTGGGTCCTATTCTCCTGCCCAGTTCTGTGCCCTTATGAAGTGCTGGGTAATTCTCCTCCACTGCTGTCTGGGCTCTCCAGGCCCTTCAGCAGCTGAGATGTTCTCCTGGGCACTGGAGAGCTTCAGCTGGAGCTGCCACAGTGTTCAGCACCCCTCTTGCTGCTGCCAGCAAGGCTTTTTCACCAGGTTATAAATCCCAGCTTGTGGCACGTCTTTTCCCCACTAATATTTCTCAACTTCACCTGAAATCCACCAAGAGAGCAGCGTTCCTGGAAGTTCTTAATCCTGCAAATGGTGCAAATGATGGTTATTACAAAATGGGCATTTTCAGTAGGGAATGGTGGGACCAGAGCTCAAAATCCCCACTCTCTTCCCCATCTTCTTCATGGAATCACAGAAGGTTTGGGCTGGAAGGGACCTGGACTGGCCACCTGCCCAAGACGGAGGCAGTGACACCTGGACCCTTCCTTGGCCCTGTTGTTTGTCACAGCAGACAGGAGTGAGGTCTGGCAGTGCTGAATCTCTCTCTCACACACAGGGCTGTGTTACACCAACAGGAGAGGCCCAGCTCCTTTTCCTCAGCTCTGCACATGGGAATGTGTGACACAATGTCCTGAGGTTGTGTGGAATTGATTCATGCTCCAGGCAAAGCCACTGACTTTTAAGCTGTATAGATCAGGATAAAATGCAGCGATTGTTGGATGCTTTAATGAAGGCTGGGGCAGGCTGTAAAGCTAATGGCAAACAGGAGAGTTTAGATTCTGAGGAATGCTCTAAAAATGGCTGTCTAAAAGCAGTAGCCCTGGGCAGGTGTGCTGTGAACATACCTTTTGTTGGAGGTGACAGGAATCCTCCAGCCTTTGATCTGGCTGAGCTCTGTGTCAGAGATCTCAATCTGCAGCGGGAGCCTGGGAAGCCAGACCGTCACTTCCAGCTGGGTGGTAAAATGCTGGTAAGTGAAGTTAACAATCGTATCCACTTTGCTCTTCATTTCCTTGCCATTAACGAAGATGGAGTCACAGCTGTCAGAAACCTTAAAAAAATATAAAAAGAATTAGGAAATGAATAAAAGTTCCTGGGGAAGAACAAGGATGATACATCAGTCCTAAGACAACACTGCAAATGTAAGTCATGCATATTGCATTTTCAGTTTTCTAATTAGAAGCAAACAGTGATAAATGGACCCCAGGGAAAGAGTTGTGTTTTCCTCAAAGGATACTTCTCAAACTACAAAAATAATTTAATGATGTTATATAACCTGTGTGAATCTTTTATATTAGGCAAATTAAACTCTTCATGAATCAAATTCCATGTGCATCAACGTTTATGTTTACAACTTGCTTAAAGAACCAGGAAAAAATGGGGCCATATGTTAGTAAGAAAAAGTCTGACTCAGAACCATAAACCAGAATCCTTTTCCTTGAGACAAAGATCCCCTTATGGCTCATGAGCAGAAGTGCAGCTGAAGCATTATTTTTTAGAACTTCTCAGTAATTGTTTTAACAAAATGCATTCAGAGTTGCTTCGTGGCATTCCATGAAATCACTGCTAAAACAAGCTGTGTACTACAGCTCATCTTCCCTCTGGGTTCCAGGGATCTTCTGGCACAAAACCCAGGTCCTGAGCACAGATCTTATTGATATAAAACCATGATGTAGCAGCTAATTCCATCTGCATCCTGGAAGACAGGACTCTTTTTTCAGGAAGGGTTCCTGACATATTTCTATGTGTGTGCAGAGTTTTAGATTTCACAGACAAATCCACAGCAATGTATAACATTCATGTCCAGTATTTGTGTTTGTGCACATGTATAACATGAGTTCTACACCTGCACACTGCATGTTTTTGCTCTGTGTCTGGTTCTTTGAAGAGAGGGAGGTGTACAGAGCCCACGAAGAGTGGTTTCCACCGTCTGAAGCCACAGCTGGTGCCGTGTGGTTGTGTTCCTGAAATGCACTTTGTTCTCCTGTCAGGACTGCTCTGTGTCACTCGGATCCAGGGGGATCCTGCCTGAGCCTGTGTTTCAGTTCTGGTTTCCTGGAATTACTGAGATAACTCTTGTAGGCTTCAGTGGGGAATATGCTGAAACACGGGTTGAGTTCCCTCTGCAATCCTACCTCAAATCTTTTCAGATGTTAACAGGGATTAGGGGTTACTGAGCCAAGAAAAATTAGAGAATAATCTCTGGCAGATGCTTTGTTTTGCTCAAAAAAATATGCAATATTCAGATGTGAAGTAAAAGATCCGTCCTTCCATATTTACCATTTTCAAGTCAGCTTCTCAGATCCTTCTCAATGTTCTGAAACTACAGCTGCTGATTTACAAAGGGGCTAATCCAGGTGATGAGGGATGGGGCAAAGGAAACTAAGTCACTCTTCTGGAGAGAACACTCCCTCCACATAAATGCTTAATGAGCAGAAGAATATAAAAATAATAAATCTAGATAATCTGATAAAGAGCTTAAAATGGACTTCAAGCTCAGGAGTATCACAAATGATTTGGAGCAAACTTGGAATCTTTTTTTCCCTCCCTCATAATGTGTCACGAGTGTCTCTGGAAAGTTTAAGCACATTAAGCAAGCCCATTAATTGAATGAGCAGTTGAGATTCTAAACCATAAAGCTTACATCTTGGGAGTTATGTGAGAATTAATACAAGACAGAAATAATTAAGAAAACTCAAAGAGGGAGGGATAAACATCAAGGCTGGATCAGGGGAATAACTAATATCTGACAAGACAGCAGCTAATTTTTCAGATTCTCTTCTTGCTGCATCAAATGTTCTTGTCAGCAGGCAAGAAAGGTGCTAAATTAGGGAACTGAAAGAAGGACATTAATTGTAGCTATAAAAATATCAGTCTAGGCTTACAAATTCCACAGATTTTATGTCTAGACAGAGACATCCAGTCATTTATACACTGACCAAAAGGTAAGTACAAAGCAGGATATATAACCATGCTGTAGTTCACCCAGTGTTCTTGTGTAGCATTCAGGATTCACTGAAGTGTATCTTCCAGAAAATAATCCTGCCTGGATAAGAAAACTTGAAGAGAGCCACTGTTGTTTCAGTTCTCTATCTGGAATTTGAGTTTACTCTATTAAGTACAAGCATACCAGGTAATTCAAAGGAAAATCCAGCTGAATCCCATGATAAAGCAGAATAAAGCTCACATGAGGAAGCCTCTATTTCACTCCCACATATTTAATTACTGCCAGGTTTCTTTCACTAACCTCACTAGAGCTGGTGTTAGAAAGTAGACTTGGCTCATCTGAAGGAAATGAGAACCTTGAGCATGGACAGAAAATGCCCAGCACTCCTTTTTCACCTGGGACCCCTTCAGACCTGGGACAAAGATGTGATTCCATCCTGGGAGCTGGGATTCCACGCCAGCAGCACCGTGACGCTGAAGAGGGAATGAAATCACCTCGGGCCCTGGGGACTCTGTGGCCTGCAGCAAGGTCCCCCTGCACCTTCTGTGCTTTGGAGTCTCCTCCACACCTTCCCAGGCACAGCCTGGCTGCCAGAGGGGATGGAGATGCTGCTGGGGAGGAGCTGCTCTGCTCCCATGGAACGTGCAGGGTTTGCCAAGGGCCAGCGCTGCCTGAGCAGGTGACTTCACACAGAATTCTCTGAGCTGCTGCTTTTGAGGGAACAAAGAGGGAAAAGGCTCTTAAATCTCTCCTGCAAACATTACACAGTGAGAAGAATCAGCAAAAGCTTGGAATGCCACCCTCTCATGTAAAATGCAGGGAGCAAGGCTGTTTAAAGCAGACTGTCCCCATCCATTGTCAGCTGCCTGGCAGCACCAGAAAGTTCTGTTTGACACAGTTTGCAGGGGAGCAGGCCAGCCACCGTGTGCTCACATATGCAGGTCAAGAGAAAGAGGGCTGCAATTAACCTCTCTGGGCTTTGAAGCAGGTGGTTGGCTCCAAACCCCACAAGTAATTGTAAAAAAGCACAATTTGCCCTGTACAGTCTGTGAAAGCCTCCTCACTTTAGGCTAATCCAGAACAGAGGAAGATAGCAGTTGAGGAGGAGTAATTGTGAAACCATTTGATGTTCAGGTCACAAAGGTCTCTGCACCCTTTTGGGGGAGCAGGTAAAACACAGGGGAATGTGAAGTGACAGGAAAACAACTGATGCCTGCTTGTGGCTCATCTCTGCGTGCAGGGTCTGCTCCCAAGCTCGTACCTCACCCTCAGCTTCACTGCAAGGAGCCCTCCCAGGGGACAGGACAGTCACAGTCCTCCTGGCTGTTTATTCTTCAGGAGTTTTTTGGTCATGCTGAGACCCTGCTGGGCACAACCATTTGTGTCCACACTCTCTTGTGTGGGAGAGCAAGAGGCTTCAGCAGAGACCTGGCCACAGGAGAATCCATCTCCTGTCTCAGGGCCTTCCCAGCCCACACCTCATCTCCAAGTTCATCTTTCTTCACCTTCAGGCAAACACTTGTTACTGATATTTACATACAGTTGTGTATGGACATGAATAATGAATTATAAAGGAAAACTCCTACCCAAAAGAATGAATTCTATTTAATTCAGTGCAAAGCAACAGTGACTGAGAGAATGTGTGAGACCAAGCACAGTGCAAAGCTGTCCTGTGGCATTTTTCACCTGTGAATGTTTGACACAAACCCCAAAGGGATGGTGCTAATTTTACAGCAATTTTTTTAAAAAGTGAGGCATACACCATGTGTATTAGAATTTGGTCTAACACAGAGTCTTTTCAGCTGAAAAACTCAGCCTTTGGTTATCCAGTCAGGTCCCCAGAGGATTTAAATTTGAAGTTCAAATTCACCCTTGAAAAGAGGTGCTTGCTGCCAAAAGACCCTTCACCAGTGCTTCAGAAACACTGGATTTACAAGAGGAGGTTTTTGCTCAGTGTCAAGATCTCCTGGTCTTTAAAAACAGAGTTCAATGGGATGGGCGTGCAGACTCGAGTGTTGTAACCCTGATTCCTCTCACTCATTTCTCATTCCTTGCCTGCCTGAGCACAGGAGGCAGAGCCCAGAGCAGGGCTGGCTGCAGCCCTGCACGCTCTGCACAGCTGCCCATGCAGCAGAGCTCTGGAAGCTGTTGAGGAGTGCAGGGCAGGGCAGCAGAGCACAGCCCAGCCAAAGGGTGCAGGATATAAATGCTCATTATTGTGCCTGAGGCTGCGAAGAGAACAATTGCAACAAGATTATAGAGAACGGGGTGAGAGTGAATGGCTCATTCTCATAATAATCTCACCGTGGTGATGTTGTGGTATTGCCTGAACTCTGCCTTTCCAAACTTTTCCATGGCATTGTTCCTGACATTGTTGTTACCACATTAGGAAGGACTTGCTGAGCTGTTTGCTGCTCCTCAAACCCTTTCACTGTGTGTTTACCTTCTGCCTCTTGCATCTTTTTAAATGGCTGCAGCATGGCCGGATCATACTTCTGTCTGCTTTGGGTAATCTTCTACTTTATTTTTATTGTTGCTATGTTTGCTTTAGAAATCACAGAAATCTCTGAAATCACTTCCTCAGCCTGAGGAATCTGGCCTAGGCTTTGAGTAATAGCTGGAGACAAAAAGAAGGATTATTCTTCCCATCCTTTTATTTCTGCCTCTACCCAAGAGCTGCTTACCCCCACGCCTTCCTTGGCTCCTGTCCTCTTCTGCACCTGAAGACATTGCTGCAGCCTCTCCTAGACCAGCAAGGGGCAGAAAGATGTGCCTCATGTCTTGAGACAAAACAAACAAAGGCTATTCCCAAACCCTTTTCTGATAAAAAATGCTGGGTTTATTTTAAATTCAGAATTCTGCCTGACAGCAGCCAATCTAATAAATGTCAGGCTTCTTGTTTTGGCTGCAGCTGTGTGTTATGTCATGACATGACAATTATCCAAGTGCACAGGATTCAGCCATATTCGTGTGTTGAGTGATAAAATCAAAATTTTGCATCAGATTTTGTTACCCTTTTAAAACTAAAACAAATTGGTCATTCATTGTTTGAATTCCAGCTCTGCCCAAAGATAACTGTCCTGTTTGAACTGCAGCTCTGCCCC